TGGGACCCCCTGTCCGTGAGTCCCAGAGGTCCGAGGGCACCAGCCTGGCGTGGGACCCCCTGTCCGTGAGTCCCAGAGGTCCGAGGTCACCAGCCTGGCGTGGGACCCCCTGTCCGTGAGTCCCAGAGGTCCGAGGGCACTAGCCTGGTGTAGGACCTCCTGCCCTGCCGCCAAAGCCAGTACCACTAGCCCCGAGGGGCCCTGGCGGCCTTTGGCGGCATCTGTCTGAAGGAGCCGGCGATGCCGGCCCCGTCTGCTGGCCTCCAGCGCCAGTGCGAGCCCGGAGATGGCCGGGACAACTGGACGTGTCACCGGACTTGCAGGACAGGCCTGGTCCCTGGCTGTGCTCAGTGCAGGCTTTCTGGAAACAGCCCTGCCCAACCCTCCTTTCCACCGACATTCTAGAAAATCCCAGGCTATCAGGGCAAGATCCTGACCTCGGTGCTCACATGCGGGTGAACCACCAGGACACCGGGGACCCCTGAGCTCGGCTCTTTTCTCAGGTTACCCAAACTCCAGCCCAGGGCAGGCTCTGAGGGAGACATGCCAGGCGGACCCCAGGCCCAGGGTTAGACGCCTGCCCAGACCCGAGCTGGGGCCTGGGCTGCTCGGCTCCCAGGAGGACCCTGCTGGGGACCCGGCAGATCGCTGCGAGAAGCTTCTAGAAAACGAATGAGCCTACTAGGCAGAGATGTCAGCACAGGGGTCCCCCCTCCCCAGGCCGAGCATGGCTCTCCTCACCCCTCGGTGATCTGCCACTTCCCTCTGTCCACACAGGCAGGGACATAAATTTTTTACAGCTATAATTGAGCTAATAATGACCTGGTTAACTGTGCTGGCAGAGGTCCTGGCCGGCCTCTCAGAAGGGGAGCCAGGAATCGGCAACAGCGGTGCCAGGAGAGCTGAGAGATCATTCAGGGACACGCCTCCATCCCCACCAAGGCCAGAGAGGCCCAGCACACGGCCGGGCCACACAGCAGTTCAGGAGCTGGGGGCACCGGTGTCCACCCTGATGGATGACCGGGGCCACGCGGGGGCCGCGTGCCTCAGCCAGTAGAGGAGGGGTCAGGCGTGACACCAGAGCTCAAGGCCAGATCCTAAAATGGCAGGCTGGGTGCAGCCGGACACCGTGGAGGGGCCTGGCTGCGTCCCTGGGGATCTCCCTCGTGGGCTGAGGCCGGCGGCATGTCCCAGAGCCCCTCGCGGGGCACACATGGGGTCATGTGTCCCTCCCGTGTGTGCTCTGTGCCGTGAGTGTGGGCCACGGGGCTCAGGGGGCTGGGGACCGGCCCTGGGCCCACCCTCCTCCTGGCCAACCTGCGCCCGTCCCCCCTGACACACGCTGCACGGTTGAAAACACCACAGCTACAGAAACAAGCCACGCCACAGGCGGGCCGGCCCCGGGCTGCCCCCGGGAGCCCACAGCCCGACAAGGAGCCTCCCAGCATAGACGTGGACGGGGGCACCAGGAGGGGGTGGCTGGGGGTCCCCTCTGGGGAAGGGGTGCTGAAGGCGGCCCCGAGTGGGGACACTGGTGGGATCGGGGACCGTGCTCTCGGCAGAGGGGACAGAAAGCAGCATGTGAGCAGCACACGCCCGGTCTGTCCGGCCCAGCGCCGCCCGCACCAGCCTCAAGGGCCTCACAAGGGAGATTTCAACTTGGCTCTAAAAAGTCGGGGCACCCTGGATGGGGTTGCTACAGGGGGGCCAGTGTAAGGTGTCCGCCAGCTGAGGGGTGGAGGGGGTCAGGCCTGGGAGGATCTGCGGTGGCCCCGGGTCAGCGCGTGGCTCTGGTGGGAGGTCGGGGAGAGGGGGCAGGGGCTGCCACGGGAGCCGACGCTGCGGTAAGAGCAGCCGGCAGGTGGAGGCAGCCACCTGCAAGCCTGGCACGGCACGAGAAGTCAGCGGGGCTTGCTCGGCCCCAGCCCCCAAGCCAGACTCCGAGGGCTCGAGGCCCGCAGTGGGTGACTCGGCCCCAGCCCCCAAGCCAGACGCCGAGGGCTCGAGGCCCACGCTGGTGACCCGCCTGGTAACAGGGATGTGGGCACTGCGTGGTGGGGGTGGGGTTTGTCAGAGGAGCCTTCCTGAGGGACGGCTGAGACCAGGGCTCCGGCGTGGAGACAGGCAGGGGTGCCTAGGGGGCCCCCAAAGCCAGGGCCGTGTGACACTGCTGGCTGACCGGTTCCCTGCTCACCCAAGACCCCCAGCCGCTCTAGCCTACCTGGTGTGGAACGAGGGGAGGGGCTGTCCCTGTGTGAGCCCCACTCCTGGTGGGGACTGAGAGCAGACGGGCGAGGAGGCCCCCGAGCAGGCCTGCGGCACCAGGTGTCACCTGGCCCACAAGCCCGGTGGCCATGACGGTGGCCCATCATGGTCTGGACAGGAATCTGAGGTGCCAGCTGGGCACTGGGCGGGGAAGGGGAGCCAGGGGCCCTGGGCAGGTCCCATGTGTCCCCTGACTCCTTGCTGCTGCCGGGGCTCTGTCCCTGGGGTGGGGTGAACGTCCGCAGGTCTCAGCCTCATCCTCAAGAGAAATGTGGCGCTGGTCTGCAGCAGGGAGGGCAGAGGCAGGGGAGGGGGTGGCCATATTTCTACTTGTTCAGCTGAATAATCAGAAGTTTGAGTCCCAGCTCACCAAGCCTCTTAAAGCCTGGCTTGGACCACCAGGGCCTCAGGGTCTGGGCTCTGCCTGGTGAGGGCCAGGCCTCAGGGTCTGGGCTCTGCCTGGTGAGGGCCAGGACAGCTGCCTGGCAGCCGTGGCCGTCCCTGACCCTTCAAACCGAGGTGGTCGCAGCACATACCTCACAGCACCCTCTGGGAGGCAGGGGATGATGGGAAGTATGCTGCCGTGCTGATCTCAGAGCAGACCTGACCCTGGGCCTGGGCAGGCAGGCAGATGAAGGGCCGGTATATGTGTAGGTGTGTAGCTATATGTGTGTACATGTGAGGGTGTACACATATATGTGCATGTGTTCATATGTCAACTGCATGTGACGGTGTATGAGAATTGTG